CCTGCCACTGTTGTGGGGGCACGGTAGAGATGAGGTGTGGGGGGGGGGCGTTAGGCCGGTCTCAGGACCTTTCATCCATTCCAGCTGATGGGAAATTTCCCATTTGCAGCTGAGCTTGCAAGATTTCCACCATCCCAGGCCAAATCGTTGCTAGCACACCTTGCGTGGAACCCAAGCCCTGGTTTGGACTCAAGTCAGCTCTGGGGTCCCTTTGACAATGGTGTGAGAGCTTGCCTCAAGCAGTCAGAGCTCCTGCAAGGTCATGATCAGCGCTCGCCGCGGGACACACCTAGATACAGCCTAACCTCTGCCCGACTCCGGTTTCTGATTACTGAAACAAATCACTTGTCACTTGGCTAATCCTAAAGCAAACAATCAGAAGCGACACTGTGGTTACTCATTACACTATCTCCTAGAAGTCCATTTTGGAACTAGGGAAACTGAGGCCCAGAGAGATGCAGTAACTTGTCCAAGGTCACGCCGGGGGTGGTTAACCAGGATTTGAACCCTGAGTCTGTGTCCAGTGTCTTAACCACAAGGCCAGGCTTCCTCAGATTAGATGCAGGGACTCTCTCACTTTGTGAGTCTACACCTGGCACAACGGGGCCCCGATCTCGGCCAGGGTCTGGGCAGTGCCCGGCGTGATGGGGTCCCGATCTCAGTTGGGGTCTGGGGAGCGCCCGGCCCAACGGGGCCCCGATCTCGGCCGGGGTCTGGGCAGCGCCCGGCCCGACGGGGCCCTGATCTCGGCCGGGGAGACTCGGTGCTAATAAGACCCACTCCACCTGGCTCCCTTTGCTTCCTGACCTCCCGACAGAGGCAGCAGCATGGCATCCTCCCGTCCTCGGGAGTCTCGTGGGGATTCGCATCTTGCCTCTCCTCGGGGAGGGAGCCAGTGGCAGGAGGACCCCCCAGCCCTGCCTGCAGGGAGCAGTAACTGGCTGCGAAAGCATCCGACCTACCTGTGGCCTCTTCCACTCCAGCCCCTTAATATTCTCAGACCCAAGTCCGAGTTGCCAGTATCCAAGTGAGCTGGGGACGGCGTCGAAGAACGGGTCGGTGAAGAGGCGGCGCTGCTGCAGGCATTGCCGCTTGAGCTCCTGGTACCCCTGCCCTGAGTGCGGGACGGCCTGGGCGGGCTCCGAGCTCGGGTCGCTGAGGAGACGAACAGTGATCCCGGGGGAAGCCATGCTGAGCTGCGCCAGCACCGCACTGCATCAGGCACCTGTGCCGTCGCACGGGCGTGTCCTAGTGAAACCCGAGGCCTGCGTCAATGTTTATCAGCCTTTGTCAACAACCGGGTTCTGCCCCACATAAAACAAAGCTGGAAGGAGCTGGTTATTGATCTGAGTCCCTGCGCAGTTTGGCTGCTGTTAACTCTTTGCGGGGCTGGGGGTTGGTCCCATCCTACCGGGCGAGATGGGCTGTCACGAGACCTCCCACATCCTATTTGACTGTTGATTTGGGTGTTGAGTGGTGGAGAGGAGGGAAGGATGGACTAGTGGTTACAGCAGTGGCGAGCAGAAGCGCAGGACTCCTGGGTTCCGTTGACACCTCTCCTCTCTGGACCTCCCTTTCCCCATCCGCTGGCAACGTGCAAATGGACCAAAGTGTTCAGAGCCGGTTGCCTAAAGTAAGGCTCTTTGGTTCGTAACTTGGCACTGCGCGGTGCCAGCGCCCACTGTTCTGTGGGAGCTGAGTGCCCCCAAATCCCAGTGAAATCAGTCCCACACCCACCCCAGAGCTAGGAATAGAACCCAGGAGTCCTGGCTCCCAACCCCCCTGCTCTAGCCACTAGACCCCACTCCCCTCCCAGAGCAGGAAATAGAACCCAGGAGTCCTGGCTCCTAGCGCCCCCAACCTACTAGAGATCATTCCCCTCTCAGACCCAGGCATAGAACCCAGGAGTCCTGGCCCTCAGCCCCACCCCCTCCAAAGCCCACTGAAGTAAATGAAAAGAGACACACCCTCACTCACTCTGTACGTTTTGGCCCAAGATATAAAAGGGTTAATTCCTTATCTGGGACACATCTGGTGAGATAGGTACCTTTGCTACTCTAGAGATCATAAACCAGTGTGTTATCAGGCCCGTGTGGAGGAGTCGTCCCAGCCAGGACCCTTGGCCTGTGCCTGCTCTGCCCTGCGCTGTAGCAGACTGGGTGACGCTGACGCCCACTCGCTACTCAGCACAAGTGCCTGGGAACCAAGTACAGCTGGGCGGCCTGCGCTAGACGGGAGCTGCTGGTCCCTCCCGGCCTCGACCCCCTTGGATGGAGGAAATAACCGAGTTCCCTCACTAGCTACGTGGCCTGGCTGCACTGGCGGGCACTGCCACGGGAGGGGGCTCCCCACTATGGTGAAGGATCCGACCCGATTCCTGGACCCTGCAGGTCTAGAACCGTGGTCACCGGAGCTGAAACCCAGTTTGCTTTGTTCTGTGTAGTTTCCCCTCCCCTCGGGGGGTGCCCAGGGGTCCTGGCCGACCCCCACGTGCTCAGATATTGCGTTCTCTTCCACTCCAGCCCCTGGACAAGCACAAAGCAGGACACAGGTTGTGCCTCAGAGAGCTCTCGGTCTAAATCACCCATCACAGCCTGTGACGTTACTGATATAATCTGGGACCATACAGAACATGGTTGCAACCAAAGTCCTGTAGTGGCACCAAATCTTGTATAAAGGGGGTCAAACGAGGTGTCTAAGACAAGATTCTGGTTTGCTGGTTATGATTATGCTGTCTATATGTGTGTATCAATTTTGTAGTTGAAGTTGTGAATATTGGCTCTACACTGTCTGTATTTCAAACTTATGCTATGCTTCTGGGTGACATCCCAGACAAGTTGGTGTTAGCTCTGCCTAGCCTGCTTGATGGCCCGTTAAGGACCATCAGCTATACAATTGACCCATGGAGACAAGGCAGATACGCCTTGTGACTCAGCAAAGTATGCAGGGACTGGCCCATGTGACTCCAGACTCCATTTTGCTGTAATTTTCCACAGTAAGAACAAAGAGGGGTTCTTACACCTGGAAAAGACTATAAAAGGCTGATGCCTCATCTCCATCTTGTCTTCAATCCTACTTCTTACCTCTGGAGGGACTTTGCTACAAACGGAAGCTCTACAGAAAGGACTGAATGACCCAGCCCAGCTGGGGATGTATTCCAGAGACTTGATTTGAACCTGCAGTTTATTTCATCACTGCTACAAGCCCGAACCAAGAACTTTGCCATCACTGACTGTATTGATTCCATGTAACCAATTCTAGCTCTCATCTATATGTTTTTCCTTTTACGAAAAAACCTTTAGATTTTAGATTCTAAAGGATTGGCAACAGCGTGATTTGTGGGTAAGATCTGATTTGTATATTGACCTGGGTCTGGGGCTTGGTCCTTTGGGATCAGAAGAACCTTTTTTTTCTTTTTTTGGGGTATTGGTTTTCATAACCATTTATCCCCATAACGAGTGGCACTGGTGGTGATACTGGGAAACTGGAGTGTCTAAGGAATTGCTTGTGTGACTTGTGGTTAGCCAGTGGGGTAAAACCAAAGTCCTCTCTGTCTGGCTGGTTTGGTTTGCCTTAGAGGTGGAAAAACCCCAGCCTTGGGCTGTAACTGCCCTGTTTTAGCAATTTGTCCTGAATTGGCATTCTCAGTTGGGTCCCGCCAGAACCGCATCGTTACACAGCCCCACCCCAGGATGCAGCTCAGGGAGACGCCTCCTTAGCAGCAGCCACTGGGGGGCTGCAGGGCAGGACTGAGGGGCATCGGCCGAGCTGTGTGTGGTGGGGGGAATCCCAGGCTGGGATAGCAGAGGGGCTGCGGGTCGGGACTGAGGGGCATTGGCCAAGCTGTGTAGGGGGGATCCCAGGCTGGGATAGCAGAGGGGCTGCGGGTCAGGAGTGAGGGGCATCGGCAGCAATAGCTTCTGTGACCCCAGTCCAACTCGGCTACAGCACCTTCTGCTGGCTCATCAGGCTACGGCAAGCCTGCAGGGCCACTGACCATTATTTTTGAAAATTCATGGCGATCGGGGGAGATCCCCGACAATTGGAAAAAGAGAAACTGCAGAACTAAAATTCATTTGCAAACTTAACACCATTAATTTGGGCTTGAATAGGGACTGGGAGTGGCTGGCTCTCACTACAAAAGCAATTTTCCCTCTCTTGGAATTGACACCTCCTCATCAATTATTGGGAGTGGACCACATCCACCCTGACTGAATTGGCCTTGTCAGCACTGGTTCTCCACTTGTGAGGTAACTCCCTTCTCTTCATGTGCCAGGATATAATGCCTGTATCTGGAATTCTCACTCCATGCATCTGAAGAAGTGGGTTTTTTACCCACGAAAGCTTATGCCCACATCAATCGGTTAGTCTTTAAGGTGCCAGCGGACTCCTGGTTGTTTGTGTGGACACAGACGAACACGGCTCCCCTCTGATCATTATCACGAGACTCGTGACCAAATCATGAGAGTTGGCCACAGGCCCCTTGAATTCTGCACAGGCCATGTCCACAATGGGGCTCTGGGAGGGGGCGGTAACTGATCCCCTGCTGTGAACCCAGATGACCTTTCCTGAGCCGCCTGTGCAAAGGGTGACTGCAAAGGCTCCATCTGGTTCCTCCTTCTGGCCGCACGTGCGTCAGTCCCCCGCTTGGTGGCACCACAGGCTGCCTGTCCAGCCCACATTCCTGCCTTCAGTACGAAGGCTGTTCCTATGCCTCCCCCCTCACACACAATATTTGTTCTCAAGTTCCCCCCACAACCCCCCTGTTAATTTATGTTAATATATTCCGCTGTCTGCCTTGTGTCATCTGGCAACTCCTTTTCCCTTAGGCAGCCTCCCAGCCCCTCCTCAGATGTTCTGCAGGATCTTCTGCAAGTTCACTGAACGACTTTTTTCCCCTCCTTTAGGAAAAAAAAAATTTGCATGGGCCACAGAAGGAATTTTTCTCTGCAAAGCGCCATTAGCAGCTCTGATCCCTGCTGAGATTGCGCCACCAGCTCCTGGGGCTGGCTTTCTCCGGGCTGCGTAACGTTTTTTTTTGAGGGGGGAAAGGGGAGCACAAGTTCCTTCCCAAGTGGCATCAGAAGAACCCCCCCCCCCTCCCCCGGTGCCAAACCTATGATCCTGGTTTAGGAGTGATTCTGCTTAGGTTTCTTTAAATCAAGCAGCATATGCAACGCCGTGCCTTTAAATTTCATCTGATTACCAAATCCAGGTCTGGAGATCACCCAAGAGATCCACCCGTCTCCCCACAAAAAAGATCTATCCATTTGGATCTGCTGATCAGAGATCTGCTGATTCCCAAGAGGTCTATTGGTTTCAGATCTGTCAGTCTCCCGTCTTCCATTTGGACTGACTGATCTCCCAGAGATCTAGCAATTTCAAGATCTATCAACTTCACATCTGCTGATCTCCAAAAGACTGTGGCTCTTCGTGCTTTTCGACGGGGTTTTCAGCTTGGATTAATTGATCTCTCTATCGGATTGGCTGAACTATTGACTCTCAGATCTATTGATCTCGGAAAGAGCTATCAACTCCGAGCTATTGATCTCAGAAAGATCTATTGATTAGGATCTATCGATCTCCCAAGGAGTTCCCGTTGCCCTGTTTCTCCCCGGGTGTGTACGGCAGGACTAGGGGAAGATGTTCAGCTGGATGAGGAAGAACGAGAAGAAGACTCCTGAGGTGATCCACACGGTCACCGAGGGGCTGAAGAACCTCTACAAGAAGAAGCTGCTGCCCGTGGAGGAGTTCTACCGCTTCCATGACTTCCACTCGCCGGCCCTGGAGGACGCCGACTTTGACAACAAGCCCATGGTGCTGGTGGTGGGGCAGTACTCCACAGGGAAGACCACCTTCATCAAGTACTTGCTGGAGCAGGACATCCCGGGCAGCCGCATCGGGCCCGAGCCCACCACTGACTCCTTCATTGCGGTCATGCACGGCGAGACCGAGGGGATCATCCCGGGCAACGCCCTCATCGTTGACCCCAAGAAACCCTTCCGCAAGCTCAACCCCTTCGGGAACACCTTCCTCAACCGGTGAGTGCTGGCCCCCCCGCTCGCTGGCTCCTGCTCCCGAAGGGCTGGCCATCAGTGGCCAACGTCCCCATGAACTCAACCCCCATCCGCATGTGCGCAAAACCCCGTCGCTCGTGTGGTGGCCTGCACAACCGGGCCTACTGGGCAGCCCTTGGGTGAGCTTCCCTCCACAGCCACTTAACTCGGCCCAGGCTAGCCCGCCACACAACAATCGAGGGCTGCTGGTCCTCCAATGCCTTCTCACGATGTTCCCCAGCCACCGCTAACTCACTGTGATACAACAGAGGGCCGCTAGTTCTCCAGTGCCTTCCCCCAGGGACCCTGTGCCACGGCCTTTCCTTGCCATCGACAAGTGCCTCCTCTTCCTCGTCTTTAGCCCACACCCGAGCCAGCCCAGGCTGAACTAGCTTGGGTCCTGTGGCTGTTTAATCGGCATGCTCCAGGGCGTGAGCGGATCAGCCCCATGGAGGGGTCAGGAATTTCCCCCATGTGGTGAGATGCCACAGCCGGTACCTCACGCTCCTTGGCAGTGTCTGGCTTGACCTACTCTCTCGCAGACAGGAGGCCTGGCTTGATGGGCCTTTGATCTGGTCTGATGTGCCCATTCCCAGCTCCTTTCAGAGTGTCCTCCCCTCACTTGTGCTTCAGCAATGGGCCATGTCATAGGAATGGCCAGCGGGTCCATCTAGCCCAGAGAACTATGGGATAATCTGGCCACTAGGGGATGCTTTCCCCTGAGCCCCAAGACTTGGAAGGGGACTCATATCCCTTATTAAACCAAAACCCCAGTCTGTCTAATCAACGTTCTCAGTATCCCCAACCCTTGCCTGAGTCCCTGAGCGCTTGGCCTCAGAGCTTGTAGCAGGGAGTTCCACTGGCTAATGCCCAGCTGCATTTCCTTTCATTGGTTTAAACAGCTGCCACTCAGAGTCAATGGGCGTCCCCTTGCCCTTGGGAGAAGCAGGGGCAGCCCATTCCCCTTCTCTAGCCCCTCCCGTCCCCAGCTCCTGCTCCTCTCCTCCCCCAGCCCCGATCTATCCAGTCTCGCCCCAGGGCGGAGCCTTGGATCATTTCTACAGCCTGTGTCCACACTGGGGCTCTGCCCTGTCCCTCCTCTGCCCTGGGCATCCTGGGGGGAGAGGGACAGTGTGTCCCCTCCTGTCTATTCCCCCCCCGGGGTGCGATCGGCCCCTCCAGTCTGTCCCCCCCACCCCCAGGGGACAGAATGGTCCCCTCTGCTCGATGCAGTCTGATATTAAATGTCTCCTGCAATGGGGCTCCCGCCCTTCCTTGGGAGACGGCTGTTCCAAGACCCGGGGGGGGGGGAGGAGGGGACCCATCTCCTCCCCCCCCCCCCCCGGATGTTCACCACATCGTAGATTATAAGGATAGGAGGGACTGTCCACCCTGGCCTCCTGCGTGGCCCAGGCCAGAGCCCCGGCCCCAGGAGTCCTGCTTCATGCCCGGGGCCTCCGGGGCAAGCTAGAGTCTCTGAGCGAGAGCTGAGCTCGGTGTCAGGCAAATTCCCCTGCCAGGTTTTGTTGAAGCGTGTTTCAGAAAGGCTGGGTGGGGCGTGCGTGTGTGTGTGTGCACGCGCATACATTCCTCTGTGTTTGTGCATCTGTGTGTCAGTATATGTGCATGCATCCCTGTGCGTGTGTGTACTTGTGTGTGTGCATCTGTGTGCAACCCAGTGTGTGTGCGTCTGTGTGCATGCATCCTTGCACGCGTGTGTGTGCATCTGTGTGCAACCCAGTGAGGGGGGGACATGGGACTGGGGGGAGGGGGGTTAGATCCAAGCCCTCCTCTCTTAGCTTCTCATACACACACACCCCCGTTAGCCTGGGAGCCGTTTCCTGCCCTGACGTTGAGGGAGCCGGGCTGGGGCTGTCAGTGATTGAACTTGTGGCTAAGACACCGGCCCTGCTTTGTAAACCTCCCTCACCGAGCCTTTCACGAGTCAGAGAGTATTGCATGGGGCTGCTCCCCCAACACGCACCGAAGTGCAGCTGCCTCTGGGGTGGAACACGGCAGTGCTTCAGCGGCAACATGCAGCAGTTCAGGCTCAGAGCAAGGCAGCATGAGCTTGTCAGGATTCCTGGGCTCTTCCCCTGATTCTGCACAACCCTGCACATGTCGTTTCTCCTCTTCGAGCCTTACGTCCTACAGAGCCAGGGATCGGACCCAGGAGTCCTGGCTCCCAGGCCCTCCCTGCACCGGCCTCTCAGACACCCCACACCTTCGCAGAGCCAGGGATCGGACCCAGGAGCCCAAACTCCTACGTCTAACAGCTAGACCCTATGACTTTCCCAGAGCCAGGGATCGGACCCAGGAGTCCTGGTTCCCACCCACCGCCCCCGCTTTAACCCCTAGACCCCACTCCCCTCCCAGAGCTGGGCATAGAAGCCAGGAGTCCTGGCTCCCAGCCTTTCTCCCCGCCCCCCCGAGCTTTAACCACTAGACCCCACTCCTTCTCCGAAAAGTGGAGATCCCTTGCCCCATCTGGCACAGCCCTGCCTTGGCTTCCTGCCCCAGCCCTGCTCCACCAGAGCCCATTGCAAACAGCTGTTCACCCTGCATGTCCCTGCCCAGCCCCTTGGGAGAAGCATGGGCTGTTGGGTTTGACAGGGGAGGGGGCTGCAGCTGGGGGGCCGGGGGGCTGCAGCTGGGGGGAGGGAGGTTTAAACAGCAGCAGCCCCCCGTGATGTGCGTCCAGCCGGTGCTGGGCTGGGGGGTCTCGTGCAGTGCAGAGGACACCTGTTCCCACCCAGCCCTGGTCCGTGGCGGGGGGGCCAGGCTGAGGGCTGGGTCTGAGCCAGGCTCTCAGGAATGCAGGGCCTGTGGCCCAGTCCCCTCCCCGGCCCGGGCTGCCTGGAAAGAAGGCGTCACAGCTCCAGATGCGCTGGCAGCATGGAGCCATGGGTGGACAGGCCCGTCTCACGAGATGGCTGGCAGGAGGCCCCCGGGGATGGGCAAGCTCTGCTCGGGGCTGAGCTGAGGGGTGCGAGCGGGGAAGACGGAGCGAGGGGGGCCTCGAGGAAAGGCTGGGACCCAGGAGATGGGGGTTCAGTATCTGGCTCTATCACAGACTCACTGGAAATCGCATTGTGCCTTGGTTTCCCCTGTCTGTAATATAGGGATAATACGTCTATGGGGGACTGGCTCTCACTCTGTGTCTGTGCAGTGCCTGGCACGACGGGGCCCTGATCTCGGCCGTGGTCTGGGCAGCGCCCGGCGCGACGGGGCCCTGATCTCGGCCGGGGTCTGGGCAGCTCCCGGCACGACGGGGCCCCGATCTTGGCCGGGGTCTGGGCAGCGCCCAGCTTGACGGGGCCCCAATCTCGGCCGGGGTCTGGGCAGTGCCTGGCGCGACGGGGTCCTGATCTTGGTAAAATAAAATGAATTTTGACTCTGGAAACACTCTCCTTTCTAGACAAACAGGCCAGGACGCCTGGGTTCTTTTCATGGACTGTGGTGGCTTTCCCAGGCCAATGGGCCCTGGAGCCCAACCCAAAGCCCATTGAGGTCAGTGCAACGGCTCCCGTTAGCCCCCTGGCTTTGGAGCAGGCCGCGGGAGCCCATCTGGCCTGTAGCTTCAGCCCTGCTGCGAATCAGCCACAGCCGAGCTGGGAGCCCCCTCCCTACCGCCGCCCCTCCCACGCCCGGCTCAGCTGGGCCCGGGCAGGGCTATTTTTAGCATCGTGTTTATATCGGACCGGCCCAACTTCCTCCAGCGTGGAGGAGTTTGTAAACACCGGCTCCTCCCAATGAGCCCCCCACTTGTGTGCAGGGCCCGGCTTCCTGCTAATGCTGGGCTGCTCCCCCCCCCCCTCAGGCCAGGGAGCGTGGGGCAGCACCCCCCATCCTCTGCACCAGCCCTGGCTCGCTCTCCTCTGCCCAGATCCCCCAGCCTGCGTCTTGCTCCATCCTTCAGCCCTTCACCGGGCACCCTACGGCGGGGGGAGGGGTGGAAGAAGGGCGGCCCCAGGCTGGCACAGGCGAGGCCTGAGAGGCCAGGGGGTGTCTGCTTGCACCCTAGGACTGGAGGGGCCAAATCCCAGTGCCACCAGCCTCTCCAGCCAGCTTGGGGCTCCCCTAAGGCTGCTGTTCTGTAGGGGGGGGGGTGACCTGGCTCCGCAGCACCGCCAGGGCCCCAGGATCAGGGAAAGGCAGGGACTGCCCAAGGCTCGGGGGGTCTGTGATTCCCAGTTACCCCTCCCAGCACCTGCGGGGGGGGGGGGGGGGGGG